CAAAAACAGTGATAAACTTGCCAGGATCCTTGATAAACTTGTTTTAAATCTTGACAGGATCCTGCAATTCCGTGGCTACACGCTTCTTTCAGGATTTAGTCGTTTCCTCAGGAAAAAACATAGAATCCTTGCAGGATCTTGATCCTATCTTCCAAGGATCCGGGGCTGCAACATCAAAGATTTTCCCTAGGGATTATTGAACGATCAATTAACGTAAGTCATATCTTGATCCAACTTCATGTTGCTCATTTACATCAAAGCATACAAACAGCTTTTGTCGAAAAAATGCACTCACTGTTAAGATCCTTTCATAGCTATATTCATAGACCTATTCTAATCTTAAAATATTATTAAGCTTTGTGGTATCCTCATGTAGAGCGTAACTTTTCAAAAAATAAGTTTATGAAAGTTACGCATGAACAGGGCTGCCGACTCCTAATTTTCAAATGGAGTACAGTTGGAGTACAAATTTTTCTAAAATGAGGCAGACCGTTGAGATACCTAATTTTCTTCTAAAACAGAATTATGGTAGATGAAAAACAGTCAAAAATGGGTCTTTTGAGAAAACAACATTACTTTAAAAACGATTCCACTATAGAAGGCAGTACATTTTAGAGGAAAATAGCAGACTAGTCATGAAGTCTTAGGAGTTTCTAGTGGCGACGACAGGAGTGAGCTGGGAGAGACTGAGCCCCGCCTAATTTTTTAAAATTCTCGGAAAAAATTGACAGTTTCTTTCATAAATAAAAGGTTTAAGGAACTAAGCCCCTCCAACCAAAAATCCGAGGGTGGTTGAGCCTCCCCCTCCTTCTGGCTAAAAGTCCTGACACCGTCGTTAGAAGTCTTGTAGAGTTCCATAAAGTCTCACGAAGCCCCGTGAAGTCTGTTGAATTCTCATGCAGCCTTTTGAAGTTCTGAAGTCCGCTGTTTCTCCCTCGCTTGAAATACTATTGAGAGGAAAATTCTGACGAAACATACCTATAACACATTGTAATAATTTGGCATATATTTTTTATTAGATTTTATCAATGATTTTAACAAAATGTGATTCATCTGTTCTTCAACTTATTGTATATAAAGATGTTAAACAAACACTTGAACAATTAAATAGAGTACGTATAAACAAAAAAATTTATCTAAAAATTATTTTTTGATTACAGAATTCTTCTACTACTATTTCAAAAATGATTATTGATGTTTTAAAAGTTTTCAATTCGATTGAAGAATTAACTATTGATCCATCTAAGTGAGTAGTTTTATTGTTTTCTCATTAGTTTTTAATTGCCCTAGTTGATCATTTAACAGTTTTTATGAAAATATTCACACGAATCTAGGAGAGCCATATCCTTTTAATTTCTTTTCTCCAGTAAAAAAATTCGAATGCATTACATATTGCTACATCAAACTATGAAAATTTTTATAATAGATGCTTGTTATGACAAATTTACAAAAGTTAAATGGTAAAATCTAAAGTAGTCGATGTCAATTGTGGCATGAAGACGGACATTTGGTTTATTAGTGTATTCAGAACTTCTAAGCCACCTTTATTTAGTTTTTGCGTCGTTGCAATATCCGACTATAGATAGATATCGAAGATACATGTTTTTGATAAATAATATATGAGCCATCGATTCAAAAAAAAATACTCAGTTTTAATTAAGAGACAGAAAGAATACATCAGTAAACATAAATTATATCTTCGATGATCTTCTACCTTTGAATATAGCAGATGTGCAAGAATAAATAAATATAAGGTCAAAACTATTGAAATAATTTCTAGATTCAACCTGATAAGGTAGTCAAACGATAAGTTTTTAGATAAATTACAAGTAGAATGTGAGAAAGTTATTGCGTAAACACAACTTTTGATTTTGACATTCTACCAAAGCAATAGATTAGCGTAAACCTCTTCACTCTCATAATAGAAGATCCCGAGTCTTTAAAAATGACCCGTCTAACTTTTCGGGATATTTTACCATTTCTGCTCGGAAAAAAACAAAATTTCTATGAAGTGTTATCTTTAAGAGGGGGGGGGATCTTCTAATATGTGGAGTCTTCTAATATGGGAGGGTCTTCTATCATGAAGAGAGCTTTAGTTCATGTGATATATAGATAGTACACCCGATATTACATTTGATTCCACTTTTTTCTTGAACTACTGACTGGCTTAAATCTATATAAATAATCGGATGTGATTAGTTAGAAAATCTCTAAAATCGAAAGAGAATAATATGACATATTCAGAATTCTGGATGGTAAAAAATAGTCAAAATTTGGTAGTAGTCAAGATCAAGGTGTACGCGCTGATTTAGGCAGGAAAGATCCAGAAAGTAATCGAGCTAGGGTGAAGTATTCCCGGCCAATATATCAATGGATTTTTCTGGTGGCTTTCGATCAGTTTCAGACGGGAAATTGCGAAAAGTCATCGCAAAAATCCAGAGACATTCCAAGTCTAAACACGGTATCTAGACTTCACCATGTTCCGAAGCTTTCCGCAGGATATAGTGACTTTTCCGTATCTTTCTGACTATTCGCAGCCAAATCTGCTTGTTTCCAGAGTTCGGAATCATCGATCTAGAGCTTCATGTTCAAGTCAAATTTGAGAAAATTCTAAAAAAAGATACCCTTGAAATCCCTTAAAGTTTTACCAATTCTGTTACTATTTAAAATCTTTTAAAGGTTTTCAAGTTCTGGAAAATCCAGAAAAGATCAGTGATAGTAGTATATGGGATCCTGATCTCAAAAACAGATTAAACGCTTCCGAGCACACGAAAACCTTATAGGCGCCATGTTTAGTGAAGCCAACTAAACAGATTTCGAAACCTTCAAAGACGTCATCAAGACTTTATTTTGAGGGTTCCACTAAACGATCAGTTCAAAAAGATGCCTTGAGAAGAACTGAAATATAGAAAGAGTTAATGTATTACTTTTAATACAACTTACCACTTCGAAAGTCATTCATATGAACCTTGAATGTAAAACTGCAACATTATTACCTTTATTTGTAATATATTATTTACCATTAATATATGATTGAAATGAACTGACACTTAAAACGATTTTGTTTAGATGCCATTTGAGTGGCAATTTTTTTGTCACATGTTCGTTTACGTTGAAGTTTTTTTGCCCAATTTAGAATCCTTCGATCGTCAAATTTTCAAAAACAAATCAGTTATATGAGCTATCTAAAGCTAGAAGCTTCTGACGTTCTTACTCTGTCCAACTTTGAAAAATCATATTGACTATATTGAATCGTTATTTATTGAAATATAGTAAAATGAATTGAGAAAAAAAAATTTTAGGCTAATAATTTTGTTTGTTTGGAAATTGTCAAAAACATATTTTTCCTCGTATATGTAAAATCAAAGGTTAGTTACAGATGTAAAGACAATGTTAGGATATTTGAAAAATATGAAACGGTACTAAATTTTGAAAATGTAATGGTGCCCAGACGTAATTTTCAGTGGTTAATTACGTCATACTAAATGTCTGAGGATTTGTAGTGCTCTAAAATCCGCTAACGGTAAAGAAAAAGTCAAAATCCAAACAGAAAATACAAATTGAAAATATTTTCTTTTGAAAAATTTTTAGATTCTAATCAAGATCTTTTTGTGGAACATTCTGAAAGTTTTTGAAAATCCGGAAACCCTTCGAGTATCAAACAAACATCCGAAAACGCATTTAGACTCCACACTATACTTTTATTAAGATTTAAGAAGTTCGGAAATTCTTTAGATTTCGGATGAGATACCTCAGAAACCGAAAAGGTATCTCCGCACACTCTTTCAGACTGAATTAGTCTTTAGGACATTACTAGCGTGTCAAAATCAGTATTTTTGAAAACCTGACGATTTTCAAATCTTCAAAAACCAAGAAGGCTTTCTTGAGAATGCCTTACTAGTCCGGAAATCTTCTCAGAAATGTCTAAGGGTTTCTGAAGAGATTTGTGTTTTTCAGGAAGCGAATTGTTTTATAGTGCACGTTTCTATAATGATCATAAGTAGATTAATCAACTTCTCTCTCCTCATGAATGTTCGATAAAGTCTGTTCTTAATTGATATTTGTAGACTACCATTGGAATCATCAACTTTATCAAGCAACATTTCACTATATAAGCCAACACATACTTATGGTCATGGTTCGGCATCAGGTGTTGGTTTAACATCTACCGATATTGTAACCAACTGGTACAACAATAATTTTTCAACAATATCTTTAGATAATTTACCTGTAGAACGATTTGGTTAGTCGTTTTCCTTGGCAAAATATAACCATAGCTTTTATTCTATTCTTTGTTTAGCTAATTCTTCTAACGTTGTGATGATACAATGTTTGGTTTCAAAAGAAACAAAGTGTCATTTTAAATTTCCAAATGTTTTGAACAAAAGCAATGTTATTGAGATGTTTACGCATGTCCATCGTCGTCATCCAGAGCATTACACTTCAATCAGAGCTGCCGGCCTGGCCTGGTGCCTGGCAGGCGCCTGGTGGCCTGCCAGGCCAGGCCACCTGTCCAGGCTGAATTTTGAAAATTTGGCCTGGCCTGATCCGCCCAGCCAATATATTCAGCCTGGTCCAGGCCAAAATTGTTGGCCTGGCTGAAAAATTATATTGATTTCTCCAGTAACCATCTTGAAACATTTGTTGGCATCACAAACTGATGATTTTGTTCACTTTTAAATTCGTTATTTATCATTGTTTCTAAATTGGATAGGCAAATATAGATTTTTTTTTCTTATCGTTATTGCTCGTTCTTATTCCTAACGTCTTACTTATGTTTTCTTTTAACTGTTCATCGTGTCCCGAATCGTATATTGTTTTTATTATTGTGTTTAAGTCAGGGGTGCTACACTTACTTTTTTAGTTAGTGGTATAGTTTTAGACTTACTTGACTGCTTCTTGCAGCCATATGACTAACAAGCTAGTGCATCGTGTAGATCTCGATGAACTCTGCAATTTTTGTCCCAGGGATGAGCTCGAAATTTTGCTCAGGAAAAGAGTTATGAAGGCCAGAAGGCTACAGTACCATTTCCCAAGAAACGTAAGTGGTGCTCTTACCTTCTAACCTTTATAACTTTTTTCCTGAGCCGAATTTCGACCCGTTTGGTGGGACAAAAATTGTAGAGCTCATCGAGATCTACACGATCCACTAATTTGTTTGTTATATGGCTGCAAGAAACAGTCAAGTAAGTCCGAAACTATACCACTGCCCAAAAAAGTAAGTGTAGCACCCCTAATTAAAATATCTTTCGACTATGTGAAGAACTAATGATATTATCAAAAAATCTCAATAACTAAAGTTTTTGTTTCATGAAAAATATATATGATGATTGTTTCTTTGTTTTAATTTTCTATTTTGTGTAAGAACTTGTTATTCTGTTTTATCTTCAGGAAAATAAATTAAATAATTGAAATTAGAATTATACATGAATTCAGAGTTATGGAATTTAATCAATTTGAAAAATCTGAAAAATCAGAAATATCGCTTGGCCTGGTTTGGCCTGCAGGCCAGGCCAAGGAAACAGACAGGCCACAGCGCTCTGACCACCAGGCTGAGTCAGCCTAGACCAGGCCAGGCCGGAAAAAAGTGGCCTGTTGGCATCTCTGACTTCAATAACAAAAAACTATACTGATTGGATAAAGAACATGAAAGTAAGTATCTGTTGTTGATGAATAAATCTGGATAGGAAAAATTCGAAAACAAAGTATAATGCTCTTTTTCCTCAATTCCGAATTTAATATTATCTGCATACAGACAAATAAAACTGTTCCACGTGGCTGAAGATTTTGATCTTACTGTGAGCTCTTCTTAATTGAGTGATAGCTGTTAACCTATGAAGAATAGAGCGATGGCAGATTTACCAACAAATAAATAACTTTACATTGAGTTTTTTCTTATAGTAGCTAATACATAGCTGGAACCATGGTCTTTTATTAAGTCATGTATACTAATGAATACCTTGTCCATGAAAAAAAGTTAGACAAATAATCAATATCTACATGATTTTCATCGATTTAAAGCATAAGTAATAAATGAAAATCTAGCAAATGTTTTATTTCTATTAAAGTGACGATTGCAATCGATTGTTTTTTCGTGTATTTATTCTAAATCAATGACTTTTCACCGATTATCATCAGTTTTGCTCACTAAAATGGAGTAAAATTGATTAACAGTGAAAATAACCGATTGTTTAGGATTTTTATTAATCAGTTAAAAAAAACAATTTTTAGAAATAATCAATGTTCATTAGTATAGTTCACGTTTTTTCCTCGATTAAAATTAATTGATACAGTTTATAATCTACTGAAATCGGTTTGATCTCTGAATTGATTATAATCGTTAGGGTAGAAATCGTGTAAAATAAGATTGCATTAATTATAATCCACTGGAATTAATGAGATGTCTGAATTGTTAATTATCTTACGAGAGGAAGGAATATGATCACCTTTTCTAATTCGTTAAAGATAGAACTGGACAAAGTACTCGTGCTCGATCATCAGCACTCTAAAGTATGAGTCCAGATAAGCTCTTTTTTTTCTATCCCCGAAATATATTAGTCTTTTGTGGTAAAACCAAGTCAGCGACGATTCTCAGTGAATTGAAAAGTTTATTTCGCAATATCTCTCGATAAATTTGAGTTACATCTGTATCCTTCTACAACATGACCAAGATTTTATTGAATTGATAGAAAGACCCAGATGTGTCTCAAAAAACTGATCGAGAGATGTCATGAAATAAACCATTGCAATATTATTGAATGACATCGCTTGGCTGAATTTACTAAAATAACTGAAATATTTTGAGAACAGAAAGACAGAATTGTTCGCCCTTGTCCGTTTATATGAAATATTTTATATTAAATTGAAACCAGATTCGTATTTATGTCTTTCGAATATGAAACAAGTAATACTTTTCGCCTCGCAATCTTATGTAAAATGTATTTATACATACTTGACACATATACTTAACGGCTTGAACGAATGTTTCGAAGTAATCCTTTTCAAAATTCTCGTACTCGAGAAAGTCCGTACTTGTCCAGCTCTGCTTAACTTAACCATAAGTTTGAAAATATTTATTTTCTTTCTCAAGAAAAGAATATGATCGAGCTTGTTTTATTTCAAAACTTGTTTTTTGAATTGTTTATTTTCTTCTCAGAAAGGAAAGTAGTATATAACTTGTTCCTTGAAATACCTGTTTTTCAATGATTTTTTCATTTGATTCAAAAGATACATCAATAAAAAAACCAAGTACGGTGAAAACAATCGAAATAATGTGTACATCATTGTGGACTTGATTGTAATTGATCATAATGGATTATTAACAGCTTCGAAATCGATTGTTAATTGACTGAGAATCGATTAAAATCAATTTTAATCAGTTCCTAGAAATAGATCAATATTTTATTGATTTTAAACGTTTTTTATCAATTATAATATGATTTTTTTTCGTATTTTACTTTCATACCAAGGTCTCAAAAGAATTTCATTTCTAATAGTCTAATCAAAAACAGCACAAAAATGATCTAAATATATCTTTCTCACAGCCGTCTTGTACGTAATTGATGTTATTTGTTATTTTCATGTTTATGTGCTTATCGTAATTTTCTAAATGCGGCTTAATTATCTGAATTTTTTCTCTATTGTATTTTTCTATTTTTTCTTAGACTTTACCATCGTCATCTTCGTCTTCATCTGATGACTTAATTTCAACAGAAGATTTTACTCAATATGTCGACAAATCATTGAAGAAAAGAAAAAGAGATGAATCAACAACATCTACATCAACAGCAAGCAAGACAAGATACAACACACCAGTAAGTATATAATTAAAGAAAGAAAAGTTCATTTGAAATACGAACACAATAAAATAATTTGTTTCGGCAATGGGCAAAAGCGGGACTCGTGAACTTCTTGAAGATTAGATCGTTGTAGTAGATAATATTGCAAAAGGCTGAAATAATATATTTACTAGAAAAAATATGAATAGAGGCCCGATACATAGTAGTATTACACCCCATTGAAGGTGACCTATTCATCGTCTATGCTCGCGCGTAGACCATAATAGATACATGCAAGTCAAGTATCGTCTGATTCAAAACCGTTGCATATATACAGACTTCACATCCCCAAGGGATTCAATACCTGTAAACTCAATATTGATCAAGCTTATCCCAATACGTCTTGTCATTGAGAAGAAAAATAGATGTGAGTTTTTATTCGTACATACGAAATTCTAAAATACGCTTGAAAGATCATAACTGCCGATTGCAATATAAACAAATCGCGTAATTTGCCAGTGTCCTAAAACGATATTAAACGTTTTATTTATATTGATTTCAATTTATATTAGTATTGTCAACTTGAAATCATTAACAACTTTCAATATTGCTGTATTAGCATTCAGTCAATATGTTTAGAATGCAACGATACCAAAAGCTCTCATCAGTAAGAGTAACGAAACCATTCGCTTACCTCATTTTATTAATTATCAGGGTTCTTGTCATTCCAAAAGCAATCTGCTTTAGATGAGTGCACTAGTTCATTGTTCTTTAGAAAAAACATGGAAGTTACTCGTTAAAAGCAACACTAAACAATTTGAATAGTTTAAAATTCCCAATAATGATATAGGTTATTTATAAACTTTGTCTCTAACAGAACCTTATCGCTCTTTTTCTCAGATTAAACGTGATCGGTAGTCGAGTTTTACACGTTTTAAATGTGGTTATGACTTTTTGGATAGCTTATGAAATACGGTAATTCTTCGTATACGTTCTTGGAATATTATTCTCGAAATCAATCGTACACCTGTCAATAATTATTCTTCAATCTTTTTTGCATAAGTAACCATAATAAGAACCTATCGTTATTGTTTGGTATATAAAGTGAGGTAGTGGTATATTGTGATTCACCACAATCATAAAACACCTACCACTACAACCACTACAATAATGATCATATTCTACAAAGGGCATAACAATATCATTACAGCGACCAACGTGTTTTTTCACCATTTTGTACGATTCAGTAGCTCTAGTAAAAAACAATCGAACGACACATAAAGTGACGTAGTGACATATGTTCATTGTGCCTAATTAAACATACTCTTAGTGCAGACCTTGTCACAAAATAATCATATCCAGTAAACTACATACCAATATAGTCGTACTGGGCCATAGCTATCAATAATTTTTTCTTCAATCCTTTAGTACGATTTAATAATGCAGTCTGTAATAGGCAAACAATCTTGA